ACAATAAATGTTTCGCTATTTCCCATCAATAATTTAACGACTATTTATTTGACAAAAACTGCCAATTATTATTAGAAATCAGAAAAGCAAAGCCTTCTAATTAATATAGCAATAAACAAATGGTCGTAAGAATCTAAAGACTTCCCTGTTCAATAATGCTATACAATATATCAAAGCATCCCTTAAAATTGTATTCAACAAGTACTATACATAACATATGACTATCAGTGGCGAATAAACGTCGTCTTTAGTATATACCCTTATACAAATATTGATGATGAATCCATAAGGTATTTAATAAAAAAGATACAACCAATAAGTTGGACGATAAAATGGCACATAAATAATAATGTCGTGTATAATTTTGTCCTTTAAAATAAACGATGAATCATAAAATGGCCCATAAAAACGAATGGGCGTCATATGATCGAGAGGCGACGCTTTTGAGGATAGAAAACTTGGATTTGTTTCACTATTTTTATGATAAACTAGGATCTTAGGAAAGTTTGCAAAATGCGCAAAACCATTCAGTGGTCAAAGTGAAAAATCGTTCATTCAGACAAGTATGATGGTTTGAATATTTTCACTAAAAAACATTTACACTTGAGCAAAAATATTTATGAGATTTACGAACATAAGGAAAAAGGTCTTTAAAATTAGTAATCCACTGCGCGAACCAAATTACGACAAATCATCTTTAATTAATTCCTGTAGGAAACTAAATTGTTGACTGGCATACTTTCGTGTATGCAATTGCCGCATAGAGTTTCATATTATTTATGAACACCAGACATGCCAATATTTCTTGTCCGATACAGTGCACAGAATGCGAAAATGTTTGTCACAAATTTATCGTTTAATAAATAGCATATGAAAGGCGACGACTGAAGCCGAAAAGAAACTTAATTTGTTAACAACATGAAAGCGACTGATAGAAACCAACATCAGAATGTCGATCTCATCGATATGGGGAACAATACCAAAACCGCGTTTCATGTAACTTCAGGCAGAACTCCGAATGGGAATTAAATGGAATGATCTGTTGACATTTCAAAATAGACCCATCTCAAGTAGAATTCAGGTTTACATGCCAAAATTATTACCGAAGGTCTCGATTTCATTATGTATGAAAGCTCCTTTAGGCAATCACCTGCCATCCAATGAGACCGCAATAATTAGAGAGATGAGCGAAATTGAGTGGCGCAGCTATTACATTAAACGCGAATTAGTTCGAAATTAGATGAATTTTCCAAAGCAGTCAATGACAACAGTCTCTGCAGAAAGAGCAAGAAAAATGACTAGAAGAGCAGCTTGTTTGTTATAGAGCCAAAAAAATCTAAAAGTGAGGTTTACTGATTTTGTATGCTTCCGCAATTGAATATTATACTGAACAGTAGCGGTGAAATCAAACGAAACTTCTGTAAAATATTATTCATTGCTTAGTGGGGGAAAATTTGCTTCTCTTTAGTAAGTTTGTGAGAACTGTAAGAACAAACTCCCATATTCTAACTCGTCAGCATAAATATGCCACGTCGCGGGCTTGATTTCAACTAATCAGTGTAAACACTACCCCTTGAGGCCAGCAAATATTTCATTGAGGATGTCATATGGGTTAAATGGTAGGACACCCTTTGAATTACAAACTATTAATTATTTGCTTGATATTTCGGGGCTTATTTGGCTAATACATTCGTATTGTTGCTGTTTAAGTTATTGGAAAATCAGAATACTGTATAGGGTATTTGCTATTTCGATGTTAGGAAACATTATGTGATATTATGCCAGTCAACTCAAGAAGATCAACTGTTTTCAGTATTTGCAGAATACGTTATGAGATTATCGGATGTTCAGAGGCATTTTTTTCTTAATTTTCAGCTAAAAATCGCTTTTCTGGGCTTCCAAATACTAATCCTTTAAGTTATGATTGGCAAACTTTCAAAAGTCTCTACGAAAGACGCAGAACGTGCTTATAATGTTATTCTTAGCATTGGTAGGATCTGCGATTATGAACATTTTAAGTGTATAAATAGACACTATAACCAAACATGGCCAATAATATACAAGATTTTATCTTAAAACCAGACACTACGGCTTCTTTATTTCGCAGATATTAATATACTTTAAGTGGAATAAACAATATATATTTTATTTAGGGTTACCGTGGCGTGGAGAACTCTTCACAGTTTACTTTGATCATCTAAAAAAGTTAAACATTTAGTTTCTAGTTATTTGGAATAACAGTTGTTATATTGTGAGCAGCTCTAAGCTAACTTAGTTATGTGAGATTTATTAGTGTACGTGATGAGTAGTTGGTGAACGATGAGTATTTCGATTCTTAGGTTTATCGGCCAATGGATAGTAGCATAAAGTGAAAACACCCCCTTTTCTTGGGCCAAAGTATGCCAAAGACTCGACTAAAAGTATGCCATCTTTAGGGCTCTAAAAAGCTAAACAGTGGTTTCAGTATTAGATATAGTATATATCATCTCATAGTAGTCAATAAAAGGTATCATTTGTTCATTAATATTAATAAAAAGAAGAAAAACCGGAATAAGAGTAAAATTAAATATGGATATAAAGTACAAAGGACCAAAGTAATATTATTTAACAGTAATTTAAAAAACCTAGTTAACAAAATATCGTCAATAGAAATGATGTGATCCACAATA